TGGCGAGTACGTCAGCTTTTTCATTTCCTTGAATACCTTGGTGTCCCGGTACCCACGCTAGTTTTAGATTGTTGCGGGTTGCAAGATTATTAAGTATTCCAAGGCAGTTCCAGACCAGCAAAATAGATATTAAAAAATCGTTTAATTATAGTAAGTTTGGATTAATATTTTCAAAAAACTGGTCATAGAATTAAAACAAAATTTTGCTCAGTTAAATACTGAACTTTTCTTAATTTAAAAATGTATTAATTTACAAAGTTGACGGAGAAACTTTTAAAATACAGGGTGTTGCACAAAAAACTACTTTGCCAATTTTTAAAGTTTCTGCAATCGGTCTAACACCATGTATGACATAGGGTGACAGGTCGTACATGTACTTAATGTAATAAAGAAAATTCAGGATTCATCTTTTATACAGGGTGACTCGTTAAAGCTGAAAAACAATATATACCCTCTGTAATCATATTTCTGAGCCACCCTGTATAAAATGGGATTTATCAACCAGAAGCAATTACTTGCACTATATTTGCATTGTGAAATTATATTTTTTCGTTCATTTAACGCTGTCATAAAAAAAAAGATTTAAGAAAAAAACTGTATTACTTATTTCCGAACTACCCTGTAATTAACCAGTTTCCACAGTAACTTACTTTAAAAAATTAATGGTAAATAATCTATAAATCATGTTTTCTACAAAAAGCGCGAATAAAATAGGTTATTTATGAGAAATCTGGTTACAAAAAAGTGGCAATTTTGAAGTTTAACACCCTGTAACTCGAAAACTAGTTATAGGATCGGTTTGGGCCAATGGACACTTTTTGTCAGAGCATCGAGTTCTACAACATATCAACGTTTCAGAAAATTTGACGGAAAGCCATTTTTCCATAAGAAAGGTGCCTGGTCCTTTAATATGATAACTTTTCTGAGTAAAAAATACTATAGTTTATTGGTGTGTCATGTGTTTGTAGTTTTCTTCACAATGATGAAAAGTTAAAACTTAAAGTCACTTACAATAGTGCATGTAATTTGCACTCTGAAGAATCCACTGTCTGGTTCCCACGCATAAACCAGAATCCAGAGTCAGATTTCCTTTAATGGCCATGCTTCATCACGCCGGTCTCGATATGAGTTTTCCTGGTAAGTAGATTTGTTTATTTACCTGTATTTCTTCATCAAATTTAGCTTAAATTGATCCTTAATTACTACTGTACATTTTAATATATGATTGAAAGTTATATAAATAAATTATTCTACAAAATCTTTTAAATTAATTTTAGATTAAAAATTTTTTCAATCTTCCTTTGAAAAACACAAAATGGAGTCTTTTTATTCAACAAATTTGTTGCCTAACAACCGATTAAACCGCTACTAGATATTCAATTCTCCAATCAAAGATTTTTATGGGTCTGATACAATTCAAAGTAAGTAATTTTTAGTTTTATTTTTACTATCTGAGCAAAGAGTATATCATTTCTTATAATTTAAAACACATTATTTTGATTTTTCCCTAGTCAGATTTCACCTATAATCCAATTTAAATTTCTATTTTCTCACCTGTCACATTTTAATCCAATTGACCACAGAATTATCAGTAAGCAAACTAACTTATTTTGACAGCAAAAAAAAAATAACGAGTAATGTCACTTATTTATTTAAAATTCTTAAATCTTTCAGTATGTAGTTTCACAGGATAATATATATAAATTTTTTCAATGGTAGAGTTTTCGTTAAAGCATCATATAAAAATACTTGTATGCTATAACGTCACATAATTGTGATTACTGATATTTTATGTTAGAAGTTTTTACCGTGGCTGTGTTAAAACAAAGCCTAGGGGTATATTGTTAATTTTCACTACAGAGAAAGGTTTAAAAACCTATTATATTGTATAAGCAGGAATTTTTGTTGTCTTATTTCATTGCTACGGTTTAATCAATTTAGGTTGGGAACACGGAAGTATATTTATCTGACATTTTAATCAGTCTGGCACCCTCAATTGAATACTGTGAATCTTAGTACTAAATGGATCAAGCATTCTTCACTCAGAGCGAAACCGGAAAGTCGAAACTATTGATACATTATGAATAAAACCCAAACTGACACTTACAAAGAAGAAGACTTGTTTGCTTCAATATGCATAAGTAAAGGTTTACTTTAAAAAAAATTTAAAGATCGCTATATATTATGTTCTTTCCAGATCAGAAAATGTTGCTTGTATTATAAAAACTATGGATCTATTGTCATTTTAACCGATTTTCTAATATACATGTTTTTATGTCTAGTACAAATGACACTTATACCCTGTAACGATCTTATTTTTATATTAAAAACCAGTACCTTTGGGATACCACTTGTATCTAGCTTTTGTCATCTCTCGCTTTCTCTTTTAGCCTTAGTCAGATTAATTTCAGCTTCTTATATTGTCTTTTTACCTTCTTGCACTGGTACATTCTTCGAGAGTACCTTTTACCACTTGTACTTTATTCAAGGCTCCTAAAATAGGTAAATTGTCAATAATACATTCCTTGTCACTTTATTTAATTTCTATTTATGTATAGCCCAGTATTCCCGAATTTAGCGGGTTAAGTCCCTTGTTCTCCTGTCACAAATTTCTTCTGTCTTTAACCTTTGTATTTCTTTAATTTATTTATTTACTTCAGTCCCCCATCGTCTAGTTACACATTTTTCCTTGATTCAAGAGCGTTTATATGTTGTTTCGAGCGTTGAAATAACGATAAAATTTAGTATTTTGACCAAATTATTTGCAAGTGTATTTACTGACTGTTGTATTTTTAAGGTTAGATCGATTTTCAAAACAAATTGATTAGATGTTCGAATTATATAGATCCAACCTATAGGCAACACTCTTTGCGAGGAGACGTGTTACTGGTTGTCAACTTATTTTGGTAGGCGAATTGATTTATTTTGATTTGGTTTGACAATAATCGACCTGTTTTGATGTATGCGTGAAGTCTGTGGATATTTTTAGAGCATTCTGGGGAATTCCTAGTCTTATTTTCGAGGAATTTCTGGAATCATGGTAGGGATTTCTGGAACAAACAGTTGGTATTTGGCGGTTTTTGGTAAAACTAATAGACTAGATATCAAGCGCGGTATGAACTCGTTTTACTATTGGTTCTTATCGTCAGCTGATTTTAAGGAGTCTTCCTAATTGGTCGGTTGGAAAATTGTCCATTCGTGAAGATTCGGAATTTGGATTTGTGGACAAAAAGGAGAAAGGACTGGAGGTCGTACCAAAAAGGCTGGTGTGGTGTGTGTTTTGAGCTGCGACACGAATACTTTTTTTTGTAACCCAATCCGTGAATATCCTAAGAGTGAACGAGTGAAGAACATTATATGGCTCATTGATTTTTGGAATTGCTTTGGGAATTGGAGATTTTTGGAGTAGCCATTGTTCTTTTCGACTGTTGGTCGGATTTAGACTGGATTGTGGTCCTATTGACGAAACATCTTGGCGTTTCTTGTTGCCTATGCTCAATTACTGTGGTATCGAGGTGGTGAATCCTGGTATATCTGGATTATTTGTTCCCTTTTTCGGAAGAAAGAGGTAAGTTTTTTTTTATCACCATATTGCCGGCTGGTATATCTTTGGGTTTTCTCTTTAATCAGTTGATTTAATTAAAGTAACTTCATATATCAGAGATTTGGGGCTCATTCGTTTATTTTTTTTGGGCGTTTTGTTTTTGTAAATTCACGTTTAATCACTTCATGAACCTATTTCATGTAAATTTTAGACTAGGTGAGGGTTCATGCATGTAAATTCATTTTTATTTTATTAGAATGGCCAGATATACTGACATAGTGTTTTTCTGACTATTCTAGGGTTTCTGTTACATTTTTTTTGTAAGGGACGTTGACCGGCATATTTTTTTTTGTGGAGGGTGCAGACCAGTCCATAGCGAGCAAGCTCGCATTTGATGGTGTACACATTTAATTCGAGCCACATGGGGGATCGAATTTATGACCTACGTGTTGTAGAAGGCGCGCAGGACAAGATGGCGTCGAGGATGTCTGAAGTAACCTGTAACAGGTTTTATTTAATTTAAATTATATTCCGCACCGATTTATTAATTTATTGATACATTTAATATTTATCTTATTTATCTGATTTTCGGTATTTATTTTCAAAATTATGCGCTTATAGGTATTTGGGTCATGGCACCATCACTCATGTTTTATTTTGCTATTGAATTTTATTGATTATATTTTTTTGTAAAGTGGAAATTAATTCTATATCCAACGCCGTCTGTTTCCTTGGGGCACTGACTTTTATTTTTCGGGGGAACGCTAGGGTTTGGTACCAAAATCTAACGGTCCGTCTCATATATTTTTTGTCTATAATCTCCGCTAATCTAGGTCTAGTAACTGAGGTATAGTAGGTATAACCTTTTTTTTGAGTGTAAGTTATTTAATAAAATAGTGTGATATAATATTTGTATTTTAAAGTGCCACATTGAGTGATCCTATTTTTGTCGTGTTTGCGCAACTAAGTTTATTTTCTTAACTTTCATAATTTTAAGGTTACTTCCTCAACTTTCGTAACTGAAACTTTTTTGTATTTGGGTGATTTCATTTATAAAAACACCGTAACCCCGGTTTTGAAGGTTACAACCCATTCTAAATAAAATTATTAGTCATAACATTTCCCGCCATTTGAAATCTTAAATTTACTTTTAAAACTGTAATATAACAGGAAAGGGAATTATACTTTTGTCCGTTACAGTACCGAAAACTAAATGAAAATTAAGAAAAAATTCAGGAATACATTACTATACAACAAAAGATGAAAAGGATACAAAGAAAAATTTAAAAAATATGCGCATCTAGGCAAGACTCGAACCTGCGATCTATAGTTTTCCTGGCCAATTTCTTAACCGTTCAATCAGAGATAACTTACTGTCATGTGATTGAAAATTTATTAAAAACAGAAGATTAAAATCCAACCAAAATATCCTAATCTTTTTTCAATTTTTCTTCAGATATTACCACAACATCGTCAGAGGACCATCACGACTTCATCCTATGTTCGTCCGAAAGTATTTTTTTAATAACATTTGGTAGTGTATAAAGAGAGTAGGTAAGAGTGGCCCCAGAATAGACCCTTGAATTACGCTGCAAGTTATTAGAATTTTGATTGAATATTTTTACCTAGAACGACCTTTTAGATCTGTTAGTCTAGATATAATTCTAATTTCGTTATCTTTTCAAATTTTGTCATTTTCTCTTTAAACAAATCCCACTACCATATGATACCAACGTGTTCTTAAGGCTTCTATCTGTACAATGACGCTTGGATCAGCTGTCCACATTGTCTGCAGCGCTTGCTATAGTGTGCATGGATTACTTTTAAGATTAAAATAACCAAAAAAGGTTGACAGCTGTGTGCACGTAGTTTAGATTCAAAAGGAAAAACTTGTATTTCGTGCAAAACTTTTTTATTAATCAATGCAAAGCGCTTTCGGCTTATTTGCCATCATCAGTGCTCATCTACAAAAATTGTGGATGTAAACTTACAATTTAAAAAGATTTTAAAAAATATATTATAAAATCTGAATTAGACTTTTAAGTCAAAAGTTAAAATAGTATATATACAATTGTTTGAACAAATTAAAAATTACAAGAAACAAACAAAGTGACAAAAAACTGGTATTGGGAATAGTGAGTGTGGGATAAGCCCTTACAAATCAAATCTGATCTCCAGAAGCAAGTTAGCTTGTGTGGAATTAAGGCATCATGCCACCCTCACTATTCACAAAATTGAAAAAAGGTTAACAAATTAGTTAAAATTTAAAGAAATTTACAATTAGAGGGTGACTGTGGAAGATATATTGAAATTTGAATCTAGAATACAATATTTGATATGAAGAAAGTAAAACGCAGAAGGCCAAAGTAAAAAAACTGAAGGTTTTTTTTATATATTTTATATACATTATAATTATGAAAAAGTCTACCTACTGTCCACAACGTATCCAACAAGTTCCTGGTCATCCTCACTCCCGAAATTATATATTTCGGGATATTTACAACTTGCTAAATCATAATTTTATTAATATTAATATTTTCAAATTTAAATTTCTCTCTTCATTTTGGTTCAAGTTGTTTAACCGTTTCCACATGACAGTGGTGACAAGCGACACTTGAAGACTTTGACTTGTCAAATGTCAACAGAAGGAGGTGCGTTCACCTCAGTGTCGAACATGTTTCTCCGAGTGTGATTCGAGTGATTGGAGGTTAACGGAGATCAAAAATTTGTTATTGAATTTAAAGATTTAATTTATTGTTAGTTAAATTTAAATAAATGTCTAATATAAATGATATTATTATTTTGATGTCAAGATAAAACAAAAATGTCACTCGCGTGATTCTGATGTGCCAGCCCGGGCTCTGCAGAACATTATTTCAGAGAACCCAAGATGGCACAACTGAACCCGCGGTCCCTAAAGGTGAATCTGATGTTTAGTCCTAAAAATTACTAAATCACTCAACAAGCGTACTCATGGTTAAAAGAGACAAAATAGAGAACAAAAAAGTTTTAAACAAAGGAGTACCATGGTCCCAAAGGTAGGCTCTGATGGGTGAAATCGAGTTTAGGAGGGGATGGCTCTCGAAGGCTTGTATTGGGTGACTCGGACCTACATCATCATAGAGGGTTAATTGAGTTGTCTATGGAGTGGTATGAAATTTCTGTTAAGGTTCACTTGAGTGTTGAGACAGAGTATATTGTTGTCTCTTTCGAGAGTAATTTCAACATCTTCATGAAAATCTAATAAATTGAATTTTTTTGTGTTTAAGTTAACTAATAATTTGGAGTTTTTTGTTGGGCTGAAATTATGTTCATTGAACCTTAAGTGATGTCCGAATGCAGATGTGTCCGGCTTCTTGATGTGCTCGCCTATCCGGACTCCCAGAGATCTACAAGTTCTGCCGATATAACTGGCATCGCAATCGCTGCATTGCAACCTGTATACTCCACTCTTATCTAACAAATTCGTTTTGTCTTTTGTGCTGACTAGATGGGAGTCTAGTTTATTAATTGATTTAAAAGATACTTTGATGTTATCTACGTGGTTAGCAAAAATTTTTGAAATGCTCTTAGCTAAGTTATTTTCCCAGAAGGGGATTGATATGTAAAAATTATTAATGTGACTTAAATTGGGGTAGGCTAATTTTTGAATTTTCTTGAACTTAATTTTGGTGATTAGAGATTGAATTATGTCCGGGTCATACCCGTTGTTAAATGCAATTTGTTTATATATATATTTAATTCTTGAAGATAATTAATTTTATTTAGAGGAATTGAAAGAAGTCTATGAATATAACAATAGAAAGCAGACATTTTATGTTGGTGGGGGTGATTTGAAGAATAGTGTATCACGTGGTCTGTTTGGGTGGGTTTTCTATATATGCTAAATTCGAATTTGTTACCCTGTCTATAGACAGAAAGGTCCAAAAAGTTCAAACAACATTCTTTTTCGGCTTCCAGAGTGAATTTTATATTAGGATGAATAGAATTGATTGAGTTTAGAATATTAGAGGCCGTGTTGACGTTACCATTTATTAAGCAAAAAATGTCATCATTTTAAGACCCTGGTATGTAAGATTTCGGTAATAGTGCGGGTTACAGGTGATAGGGATGGACACTATTAGATCACCGAAGTAACTGGCATGATTGCGGTAGGCAGTAGACGATCAAATTTGACCCCTTCATATGGGTCAGATACATCGTTCACGGTTTAACTACTAGTTTTTTTTAATCTACGCATATTTTTTAATATTAGTCAGTTGCAAATTATTTTTTAAAAGCTTGTTCGTCGATGACCTAGTTGTAAACTTTGTTTTTTTTTTTGTTCCGTTGGTACAATATTTCAACATTTAATTATTATTTAATTTAGTAGTCTTCTTTACGTACGAACCGCCTAAGATTAGCGAAAACACGCAGTTCTCTGATTAGAAACACAGGCGTGAAATTTTTTTCTTTTAATATTTCCTCTATTCATCAGTAAATACTACTGTCCCTATCTAAGCTCTAAGCCCATACATTCATGCAGAAATGTATAAAAGGAGATTGGATCACCGTTCGTTTAACATGGTATTGAATAGACAAGCACGAATTTAATCGTTACTGGATTATCTTTTACTTACAATCGGTTAGTATCTGTGGATTTAAACCCTGGGAAGTGATTTATTGCTTACTCGCTTATTGCTAACCGGGAAAGTAACTTTTCCGGCTAGCAAACGTTGCTTCGTAAGTGTTTTCGTATCTCTCTCTGCTTTTTCCAGAATCATGCCTTAGGTATCTATTTCTGCAGCTATTAGCAGTTCTGCTGGGGTATATTAAAGTTAACTGGCATATTTGCAAGTACGGGTGTTTCATAATATATGCGCAGGATTTCAGGACGTCCAATCCCTCTAAAATGTACCATTTTCGAGATACAGGGTGTTGAAATGAGCGGATGTAATTTCGGCCGGAAAAAGGACAGGTACCTAAAGGGGATATGTAACTTCGGCCGGAGGTTTAAGGGTTCGTTCTTATCGTATAGGTATTTTCGGCCGGAAGGAGCAGGTAAAATAAAATAAGATCTAGAATTGCTATAACATTTTTACTTTCCTATCTGAATACAGATATAAGAAAAGTATAGGAATCATGATTTTTTTCGACCTTGAGTTTTCGACGGATTTTTACGTTTTGAGGTCCCCTGAATCCGTTTTGACTATTTTCGCGATGATGTATGTATGTATGTGTGTGTGTGTGTGTGTGTGTGTGTGTGTGTGTGTGTGTGTGTGTGTGTGTGTGTGTGTGTGTGTGTGTGTGTGTATGTGTATGTGTATGTGTATGTGTATGTGTATGTGTATGTGTATGTGTATGTGTATGTGTATGTGTATGTGTATGTGTATGTGTATGTGTATGTGTATGTGTATGTGTATGTGTATGTGTATGTGTATGTGTATGTGTATGTGTATGTGTATGTGTATGTGTATGTGTATGTGTATGTGTATGTGTATGTGTATGTGTATGTGTATGTGTATGTGTATGTGTATGTGTATGTGTATGTGTATGTGTATGTGTATGTGTATGTGTATGTGTATGTGTATGTGTATGTGTATGTGTATGTGTATGTGTATGTGTATGTGTATGTGTATGTGTATGTGTATGTGTATGTGTATGTGTATGTGTATGTGTATGTGTATGTGTATGTGTATGTGTATGTGTATGTGTATGTGTATGTGTATGTGTATGTGTATGTGTATGTGTATGTGTATGTGTATGTGTATGTGTATGTGTATGTGTATGTGTATGTGTATGTGTATGTGTATGTGTATGTGTATGTGTATGTGTATGTGTATGTGTATGTGTATGTGTATGTGTATGTGTATGTGTATGTGTATGTGTATGTGTATGTGTATGTGTATGTGTATGTGTATGTGTATGTGTATGTGTATGTGTATGTGTATGTGTATGTGTATGTGTATGTGTATGTGTATGTGTATGTGTATGTGTATGTGTATGTGTATGTGTATGTGTATGTGTATGTGTATGTGTATGTGTATGTGTATGTGTATGTGTATGTGTATGTGTATGTGTATGTGTATGTGTATGTGTATGTGTATGTGTATGTGTATGTGTATGTGTATGTGTATGTGTATGTGTATGTGTATGTGTATGTGTATGTGTATGTGTATGTGTATGTGTATGTGTATGTGTATGTGTATGTGTATGTGTATGTGTATGTGTATGTGTATGTGTATGTGTATGTGTATGTGTATGTGTATGTGTATGTGTATGTGTATGTGTATGTGTATGTGTATGTGTATGTGTATGTGTATGTGTATGTGTATGTGTATGTGTATGTGTATGTGTATGTGTATGTGTATGTGTATGTGTATGTGTATGTGTATGTGTATGTGTATGTGTATGTGTATGTGTATGTGTATGTGTATGTGTATGTGTATGTGTATGTGTATGTGTATGTGTATGTGTATGTGTATGTGTATGTGTATGTGTATGTGTATGTGTATGTGTATGTGTATGTGTATGTGTATGTGTATGTGTATGTGTATGTGTATGTG